AAGCGGGCCATCCCCGCGGCCCCGGCCCAGATGAAAGCGGAGCGGGCCGGGGGTCACTTCCAAAGCTAAAGTGATAATGGCCATTGTGCCGCCGCCGCCGCACTTAAAGGGCCCGCCGCCTCGGGCCGCCCTGTCCCGCTGCGCCCCGAAGCGCCCGGGCACCCTGCGCCCCGAAGCATCCTCTTGCCTCACACCTCGCCCGGGCTTGCAGACCCGTGGCGAGTGGCGGAGCCCCCTGGGGCCACGGGGTGGGAGCTGGGCGCTTGCGCGGGGCACCCATCGTGTCCCACGGGGAGCAGGCAGGTCCTAGGGGAGTGTCACTCCAGCCCAAGGGTTGGCACAGCCTGTATGTCTGCTTCCTTCTCCCAGCTCGCTCCTGATGAGGCCACGGTCCTTCTCTCCTGTTAGCTAGATGTCCTTTCCTCTTCTCCTTCCCAAGTGCTGCCCTTTCACCAGCAAGGAGAGGCTGGTGGGAACCCTGGGTTCCTAAGACAAATAAAGCTGCCGTCTAAACCTCATTTGTCTGTGGGAGGCATCCAAATAACAGAAACCTTCTCCCTGTCCTCAGCTCTAGGCAGACTCCTGGACAGCCTTACATCTGCCTGCTGGTGCCTGGGCCCTCAGTGGAGTTGTCTTTCTCCCCATTATCTCTGCCCTGCTGCCTCCTCAGCCTAATCTCGGGGCCGAGGTCCCCCTCCTTAACTCCTACTCTCACAATGGCTTCATCCTGTCTCTTGGGCATCACGTGAGGCTGTGCAAACAGCCAGCACATCAGGTACCTCGCTCCAGCATTACTAAGTTGCCAACACCACCTCCACCCTAGGGCCTTTTCACATGTCCAGAACTCTAGAGCTTCCTCCAGAACCTGTCTCATCCCAATCTACACTATTGCAAAACAGGAATCCAAGGAGCTCGTCTGGTCTTGGGTGTGAGGCCTGGGTCCATTTCAATGACAGGGGTCATAGTTTGGTCAAAAGGGAAGAGCTGGGATCTTTGCTAACTGTGTCAGTGCTTTATGTCCCCTGTGTGTGTGGAGCCCTGGTGGCAGATAGCATTTACTTTCCTCTCCCTCTCCCTAGCCTATCCCTGGGGACCAGCCTGAAACCTGCCACAATTGCCCAAAATCCAGTGAGGGGCACAGAGTAACCTGATGCAAAAGACAGCAAGGGCTTCCTGCCCCAGATGCCTCTGCCCTTCGGGAACCTCACTGTGGCACTCATTTCTGCTGCAGCATTTGGCAATGAGAGGGCAGGAGGGCTCACAGAGACACCATGTATAGGATTCCTGTGCAATTCAAGAAGCGACAAAGATATTTCAAAGAGTAAATGTGCCCAACTCCCTCTCTTGCTGCCTTCCTTTCCACTGTAGTCCAGGGACAAGCATTGCCACACAAATCAAGGCATACCTTCACTGCCCAGAAGCACATATCCCAGAGCATTTTTTTCCACTTCTCTTGTCTCACATTTGATCCCAGGAATGCAGGGGGAGGCCAGGCAAGGAGAGTTTGACCAGAGGAAAGGGCTCCCTGGAAGCTGTGGACTGGCTGCTTGAGAGTCCTCCCAGCCTCAGTTAGGAGTCATCAGCCCAGGTGACACTGAACAATGGCCTTCAGGACTCAAAGAGGTCACTCTCACTGGACACAGAGAAGCTATAGTGCAAGGAAGAGACACCTAAACCATTCCCTGGTGAGCTTTATCCCCTTCAGACAATCTTTCAAAGCCAGCTCCACTCTCTCAACCTGTCCAATCCTGGCTCTTTTCCCCTCTGGCAGGCTGGTGTTCATATCCACAGATGCCGATCTTCCCTTCTCATCCTTCATCCTTTTAACTTCTTCGGTTGCAAATGCAAAGCGGTGCTCACAGGGCAGTGAGACACTGGTAAATGCTGGAGTCAGCAGGGTCAGTGATTAACATAGGAGCTGGAAAACACACAAAGAGACAGCTTGGGCAGTTCTGTTATGCAGATGACTGCACACACTCGCTTCCAGCTTACAAACAAGTAGTTAGCATTTTTCTGTTCCTTGGAGGAGTTCAGTGGGGGACCAGAGTGCTTCCTACTTTGGTGCAGGATGCTTCAGCATTATAACCATGAAGACCTTTGCAGTTTAGCTCTGGCTATCAGAAGCTTTTCTGTCTGTTGCATTTTAACCTGCCTGCTTGCAGCCCATTCTCTCCCAGACAAGGCTCAGAGAAAAGGTGCTGGGATGTCCAGCTGTGGGGGGTCTCCAGGGCACCATGTTACCAGACATGCTGTAAGGCAGGTTTTACTGGTCCAAGGTTGGGCATAGAGACTTCTCCCAGGTCAAGAGCAACCTCTTTGTTCAGCAGATAGAGTTCTTGTTGGAAGGATGGAGAAAGGATGTCTCAAGGACCTGGTACTGAGTTCTTGTGTAATAAGACAGGGTTCTGTCTGGAATGTGACAATCTTAATAGTGTCACACGTAGGGTAAACATTTAAACACTCAGCCATCCACCCTATCAGGAAAGTTCCCCAGTCCCACCTAGGGGACCTCCAGGAGCGGTGGGAGTCAGAGCACTCTACCTACTGCAGGGCTGTCCAGGGTGGACCGGATGAGATAGGATATTCAGATAGGATATAGCTGAAACACCTGGGCAGCCAACTGCCATTTGGGGCAGGTCAGGCTGTGGGCCAGTTGCTAAAACCACTTCTGGAGCTGGAAAAGACTGACCCACACTACTTTATAATCATTTATGATCTATATATGGGCTAAATTGACATGTCTATCCTCTTCAAGCCATTGCTGGTGCCCTGGCTTCTGTTTTTTCCACCTTTCTCCCTCCAGAGCATTGCAGAATTAGAATCTCTCTGGGAAGTCAGGGGAGATGGGACTGTAGATGGGCTGGTGGAAATGAGAGCATGGGAGCTTTTAGGAGGGACCTAAGTGTCTACCACCTTGTCTGCTTTCTCTCCTGTGCCTGGCATTGCTCCACAAAGAAAGAGCAATGAGCAGAGCTTTCAGCCTGAACTGGCAACAGAAATGGAGTTGCTGCAGCTGCAATATGCCCACCAGTCTTAGGGAGAAGTTCAATGGGTTCTGGTGAGATATTGCCCAAGAGGGACCTGGAAAACATGAAGTCCACCGAAATTTCTGTAGTAACTGGTTTACTGTGAATGACAGAAGCCCTGTTTTGGCATTCACATTATCTGGTACTTCTCATCCCAGACCTGAAACCATCTTTGAACCCACTGCCTCATGTCTGTGCTGAAGCCCTTAAAGTGGTGCTCAGAGAGAGCAATGATTGGGCTCTGCAGAGAAGTCCTGTGAGGCACCCTCCAGTCTGTGCATGCCTGGGACAGTGCTGGACACTGGCAGACAGGTCTGCTCACATCATACTGAAAGGGAAAGTAACAAACTATAGGAAGTTTTCAGCCAGGAGTAGTAGATCTGGAGTGATTGACTTATAAATGAGATGATGTGAGGGAAAAATCTATTTAGTGGTGCTGAAGTGAGAACTGCCAGGCAGGGATGTTCAAGTGCAACAACCTCAGCAAGGGAGAGCAGTTAAAAGGAGTGACTTCAGCTGAGGAAAAAGGGCAATACAGACGGCAGAAGTATTTGGCTTGAACTTTAAGATAGCTTAAGGGCAAGGCCCAGCCAGGAGTGGACTCCGCCCAAGGGAAGTGGTGAACTTGCCTACACATTAGATCCCACTTTGGACAAGAGACTGGAGGCCCCTAAGTCTCTCCCACACCCTATTGTCCTCTTCCTTTGAAGTGAATCAGAACTCAGGGTCGTTCCCCATAGTCCAGCACCCATCAGTGCCCCACCTTCTTCCCATCCTGCAGAAAACACTAAGGGCTCTCATTGCTGTTCTCTCTCCAACTTAAAATAACTCTTTGTGGGACCAGGGGACATCAGTGCTGTCTCCTGAGAGCCACTCCCTGTCCCTCTCCTAATGGTTACTGCTTCCCAGTTCATCTTCTGGGTCATGTTCAGCACTGACCAGTCTAATGCACCAGGACACACAGGAGAGCCAGGTCTGCCTGCCCCCTGCCCTGGTGTACCAGAGCCTTGAAAGTAGGTCCCATCTCTAATTCACCTCTACTAATCTCAGGGCTCTTTTCCCTTCTGGCTTCTGTCCAACTGGGCTCCTTTTTTCTTCCCATTCTTTGAGATGGGAGGGAAAGTCTGAACTTGGTGTTGGCACTGTGCTCTTGCTCCACCAGGCTTCTGTGAGGCTCCCAGGTGCACAGGAGTAAATTAAATGTGAAACAGGAAGTGAAGTACCATAGCACTGAGCAAGGACTAGGAGTCCTGGAAGCATCCTGTGGTCCTGGCCATAGGTGGAAGAGTGGGGGAGAGCTGGAAACTGAAGGAGATTCAAAGTCAAGATCAAAGCATTTCCCTCTGAAACCCTAACACTCTCCTTCCCTCCCACTTGCACATAAAAGCACTCTGCCCTCAGCTGGCTCTTCTCTAGGGAGGGTGAGTGGAGGAGGGGTCCCTTTAACCCCTTTTTTTTTCCTATGTTACTAAGTCTTCTCATAGGTGAAATGCTGAAAATCATTGACCTCTCCTCCCAAATTCTGCTTCTTACCCAAATCCAAAGGGCCCAAAACTATTTTGATGACTATGAGTTCATGGCAGACCTGGCCTGCTTTGGGGGTGTTACCAGCTAATGCCAGCATGGGGGAGATGCAGCAAGTAAAGCCTTTGAAGTGTACAGTAGAAAGACACTGTTAGAGGCAAAGCACAAGGAAGGAGGATTGAAAAGAAAGCAGAGCAGTTTGGCCCACAGGAGGGGGAAAGGCTAATTAAGACACACAGTGTGGAGAAGGAAAAGGAAGAATCATTAAGATATCACAGCAGGAGCCCATGGTGCGGCTCCATGGAAGTTTAAGCCATGCTGAGCCTGGCCTATGCTGTTTGCTCCCCCTCAGTTTCCCATTCCCACCCTCTGCTTTGGGGTGGCACAGGAGTGTGAGGGACTCAAGTCAGTTCAGCTTGCTGATCCAGCTAAAAATAAGCTGTTTAGCTCACACCCTAATAAGAGACAGAGCTGAAATTCAGATGGGATTTTTCACAACCCCTTCCTTATTAATGATCTGACACAGGGCTAAAGATTGTAGGTGATCCCACACTGAAGAAGCTGCAAGCTCCAGTGAGGACAGGTACCGATGAGGAGACTAGAAATTGGAAACATGGGCAGGAAATGGTGGATTCAGTTTTCGAAAGCCCAGGAAGGGGATAATCTTCTGGCAGTGCTTCATTACGCAACATCACACAAAGCCAGCAGCATTAAGACCTGGGAAAGAGGGAAAGCAAGCTTCAGATTCAAGGCTGCAGTTTCTTGTTTTGTGTTTCTGTGATGACAGAAGCTGCTGCTTACTTCAGAGAACACCCAGGACCATTTACTACACAAAGGCAGTGAAAGATGGGTTTGTCAGGCTTCTCCTTGCATCCCAGCTACAGGCCAGCAGGCAGAGAGGGACCACAGGGTAGAAAGAAACATAGAGGGGCAGTGGGGAACGATGTGAGTCAGGGGCTGGGAGGCCCGGGATGCAGAAGGATCTGGCTTCCTTCACTGGTCCAGGGCAGGGCAAAAATGCATGAAGCAGGCAGGGGAGGATGGGGGATGGGATATTTCACACCTAGCAAGCAGGAGCAGATGGGGCTGCGGTTAAACACCACAAGGAATTAACTTGCACTGCCTCAAGGAGCCCAGGACCCAGCCAGCCAGGCCCAGCTCTCGCTTCCCTGGATTCATGGCATAGACTTTGGTGACAGGTTAGCAATGTAAAAGGGGTTTCTCTTGGGTCTGTAGCTAGTCAGGGAGCTGAGATATGGCCCTTCAGTGCAAACAGACCCATAAAACTACTCAAGTTGTGATTCCCCAGTCCTTTCCCAAGCCCTGCCCCCAGGCACACACTGAAATGGCCATGGTGTTTGCTGGGGGAGAAACGTGAGAAGTAGAGCTGGAGTGCTGTAAAAGATGTAAATGTTTCTGTGCTGACAGCAGCTGAGTGTCTAGGGCACAGCCTCAGAGGGGGGATGGAGAGGCACCGAGAAAGCACTTCTCTTTTGTTCTTGATCTTGGCTGCCTTAGGAGGGTTCCCAGGAAAAATCGTGAAGCTGATACGCCAAAGGGAGCTCACAGCGTGTGCTTTATCAGTTGGAGGTCGTGGGGTGCCAGTGACAGAACAAAGGGAAGGGAGAAGGAAGAAGTAGGAGGGCGGGCTTGGGATAGACAGTTGTGGCCATCTCGTCTCTGTGTTAGATCCTCTGATTCCCCTGGTGCTGGAAAGCCTTTTCATCAGTCGAGGAGGGAAGAGAAGGCATATCCCCTCATCATAAAGTGGACAACACTGGAGGAAACAACAGTGGAGGAAAGGATTTAGTTCAAGCCTGGTAACCACTGACAAGGTGACACACACAATTGCCACAGCTGCCCCATGAGAGGATGTGACTGCCTAGGAGCAACCATCACCCAGGTCTGATGCAACAGCTGAGAAAAAAACCCCATGATTCTTTTAACATAAAAGTTAGTCATCAGTGAGGTCAGTTTTTCACAGGGCTGATCTCTGCCCTCTGAAGCTTAACCTTTAGGTATGACTGATAGCATTGTGAATTCCAAAAGACCTGAGAGAAGGGAGATGAGGGCAAGGAGAAAGGGGCACTGCTTAGAGACAAGGCCATTTGCTGAGGAAACACGCTGATGTGTTTTCTTTCATCCCTGGGAGCATATACATTGATTTTGTGAAGTGTGAAGTAAGAATTATCTGGACCACTGAGCAGATAGCAGCAGAGCAAAGATGAAGGAGATGAGGATGAAGGAAGAGAAGTAGGGCTGGGAGGCATGGAACTGGCAGAAGAACAACGCTACTAGGCACATGGGAAGAGGGACCCACAGGGTATGCGCAGAAGCCCAAAGGCTCTGCAGAAGAAATGGCATCAGCAGGATGGTAGGTAAGAGACACATGAGTAAGGAAGGCATGACAACTCACAGGATCTCTCATCTCTAATCACAAGGCTTGTCCAGAAATTTACTTTTTCTGAAATATTTCATAAGTCGGACTTTTGGGTTATGAAATTATTATTCCAGCCCAAACCTGAAAAAATAATTTGTTGGTTTCTGTATTAAAACTGGGGTCACTGAGAAGCCAGAGAGGGTCCATTCACTGACACAGCTCATTGCTGCTTTCTTGAAGTCCCTCACTCTGCCTGGGCTTTCGCACGGGTCCGTTCCCGTTCCTGGAGCAGGATGGGGAGCACACGCTCACATTCACCATCTTAATTATTCATAATTAAACATAATTCACGCTGGGGGTCGCTTCCTAATCCCAACGTCACGGCTTGAGAAATCCCCTGCAATGGCCACTGCAAGTTGTGTGTCCTTTGGAAGCAACCCGAAACTTCACTGCCCACCCCAAAATAAGACGCATGTGCAGAATTAGCACTGGTACTTCTTTCTTGTCTCCCCTGTAACAGGAGGCAATACCTGCTGCCCACGGCGACTGTCCCTCAGCCTCTGGGATCTCCAGAGGGATCAGCTCGTGCCTGTCCAGCTCCTTCCTCAAGAGAGGAGTTAGTGCCCGGGTTCTCCGGCCCTGCGGCCTGTGGCTCGGCCCTGGACCCTGCCCGGCAGCACGGTCGGCCGCTGTGAGCAG